CAGTGACTCCATGAAGAAAAGTAGAAGGTATCCTCATACCTGGATAGAGTTCCCCACCCTTCCACCAGTAGCAATATTGGCTGGGACATTTTTACAGAGAGAGATCAGGGGAAAGGGAAATGGAGAGGATGAAGCCAAAACATTCCTTTTCTTTAAAGAGGGGGATACTTACCTGAGAAGAACTGGCTGATGGAATGAGGCAGGAGAGTAAGAAAAGCCAACGGGCTGGCAAAGGATGTCGAGAGCACAGCCGAAATGTAAGCCACCCCAGCCACAAGAGAATCGAGGCAAGCCAAAGAGGTGTACAGACAGAACATGACGAAGTTCCGCATGTTCCTGCTACCAATGCAGTTCCCTGTGAAGAAACAGTGATGGTCATGCCTTTGAGTTACTCTGGCACATAGTCTACAGAAGTGGGTGCCAGGCAAAGCTGCACCAGAGGTCCTGCTTCCATCCGGCCAGTTGGCCACTGCTTCGCCTCCTGGGCCCGAGTTCGAGCCCTTGCTGAGATCCTCTGGCGAGTTTTGTATCACCAGGATGTAGTTGCCCAGAGCATTGGCTGAGAGGAAGAGGAAGAGGGCTCCGTGCAGCAGAGCGGAGGAGAACAGAGGGGTGGTGGAAGGATCTTTAAACATGCTGGGGATGAAGAGGAAGATCTGGAGGACGAAGGTCACTGCAGAGATGCACAGGAAGTAGGCTGGAGCCACCACATTGAGGAACCTGAGGACTAGCATGGTCGGTTACATTCCTGCAGGAGAGAAGAAGCATCACCACCTGCCCTCTGTAGAGTTGCCCCTTCCATTTCCCACCCCCAGGATTCCCCACTCTTAGTGTCTGGCCCTTCCCTGGCGGCTCCACTCACCCCCCATGCAAGCCCCACCCCCACCTCGCTGCTGGAGACAAACTCCCCGGGGAAGGCTGGCTCCTCCTCACTCTCCCGGCGTCGGGTCTGGGTCTTGGGAACCGGCCGGCAAGGCTGCCCCCGGCATGCCTGGGTCTGCAGTCTCCGGAGAGAGTCTCTCTTGGGCTGGCCGGTCTGCGGGAGCCAAGCTGCTCCTGCCGCATCCCTGCTCAGGAGTTCCTATCAGATGTAGTAGGAGGATCCATTGATTATTATTATGTTCTTGCTTGATGGATTTGGGAGGGGGGAAGCAGGGTGGTAGTTCTAATCCACCGCAATACGGGTCGAAAGCAAGGCTCTAATTTAGCCTTCGGAGCCACACATCGGCAGATCACCTCCACAGCCGTTGTCCTGACATGCACCTCATTAGGAAATACAGAAAACAGCTGCTTAAGTGCTGCTCCAGCGGCGCGTAAGGAACTCTGCAACGGAGCCCCTGCGTGTGTGTGTGTGTGTGCGTGCCTGTGTGTGTGCGCGCGAGCGCGCCTCTCCCTGTGTGTCTGTCTGGCATCGCTGTGCAGTCGATACCCATTATCAAATAAAGCAGTCAAACATTCACTCCCACCCGCCCCCGCCCCCGACACTGGGGCGCACACAGACACCCAAACATGGAGGTTTTCCTGCAAAGCTACGACCCCCCTCCCCCCCCCTTCAGCACAGCCTCTCTACGTTTGGTTTTCTCTTCCGAAACAAATCCATGTACGACACGCATTTGAAAAGGATTTGGGTTTTGTTTTTAATTACGGCAAATCATAACGCATTGAGCAGTCGGTTCTAGCAGCTGTCGCTCCCCTTCTCCTTCCCTCCCTCGCGGGTGTCCACTCGCAAACTTAAGAGCCGGATGCTTATGAGGAGGCTATTAGCCCTTTGCACTTCCACGATCCAGTAGCCGCTGGGAACTTTTCTATGCCCGCGCTACAGTCCTGCCGGCAGGTGACTTCGGGAGAGACCTGCCAGGAGTCGCGGCTTCCCGCCTCTGCTCAGTCACTTCCCCCCGGGTGGTCTGCAAGACCCTTGCAATAACCTTGAAGCCCCCTTGCCTGCTGCCTCGGTGGCTCGCCCCGTCCCCCGTTTACCTGGAGACTGGGTGGGGAAAGAAGCCGCTGTCCCTTCAGCACCAGCCTCTCTGCGCGCCGCTGAGCCTCCGGCCAGCTGCTGCCTTTCTTTTCCCCCCCCCCCCCCCCGCAGCAACGGCAACATGAACAGCAGAGGCGCTGAGAGAGCTCCGGTTAGCAGCACCGCTTTACCACCAGCCACGCAGGGCTCCGTGGGGAGCCCTTTCTCCCTCCCTCCCTCGGCACCGGCAGGATCCGCCTTCGCTTTCACAGGGGAGCTGTCCGCCCCTTCAGCACCTCGGAGGGGAATCGTTTCGGGAGCGCCACCGGGAGCTGTCCCTTCAGCACCACAAAGAGCAGCGCCCTTAAATCGCGGGGCTTTGAGAGCCATCCCAGGGCATCCTAAAACAACGCACTTTTACCTCGGTTCCCCCCAGCCAGCCCTACCTGCAGAAGCCACGACGGCCACCTCCTTCTGAACGCTGCTGAAAGTAATATAGCGATCCTTCCAGCGCAGGAGGAAAAACTGATCGCCCACCTCTTCTCAAGTATCTCCTGCTCCCTTCCGGTACAACAATCGGTCGCTCATAAACAGATACCAAATCCCCCCCCCCCCCTAACTGAAAGAACAGGTCACAAAGTAAAGATCAGAAAGTCCAAGAAGGTCTTATAATGTCCTTTAGATATAAGTAAAATCCAAAGCCTCAGAAAGAGTTTAGTCTAACATGCAAATTGCAAACTAAGTTTTTGTGCACCTGAGGTTTTAGCAAGGAGCTGTGTTCTTTCTTAACGAGAAATAGATGAAGAAAAAGAAGACAAAGAATAGGAAAAAATGAAGATGAATTCTGTTTCCTTTCCATTTTTATAATCCTACACTAATAGTATATTCTGGAACTACCTACTTGATTGGTCAAAGGTTTCCACTGACACCTACTGAGCGCTGCTTAAGTGGTATATATAGAACAGTAACACAGCACTACAAACACAGAAGAGTGCATGGTTGTGATACATGCCTCCTCTCTCATGTTACTGGAGACATTAACATTTCTTTTGTTTCAAGTTGGGCAGTGCAGAATTGTCTGGGACTAGATAGTATGAACAGTTCGATTTGCAGGCCACTGAGAAAAGCCCTTTAAGCCACAGCTGTGCTCTTGATTTGGTTCTGGATTCTGGCCCTAAGATCTCATTCAATGAGTGGTGGCACATTCTGATGTTTATTTAGGGTGATGGATTTCAATACAGCCGTGGTGCTGCTACTGATGTCAGTGTGGTGGGAGCTCCTCAGTTACACATTTTTAGGGGGAGCCATAGAGATAGGCTTATTCCCCTGAGCTTAATTTGGAATTGGATCCAGGAAAACAGATCTATTTGAAGGGGGGGAAACCCAGCAAACATTATTTTCTGAACAGCTTGGAATTGTGTGCTTGAGAAACTCATGGTGCTCCCAATGACATTGTCAATAACATAATTCCCAAATGCTGCCGTCACCCCCTTCATCTTCCTTTTCTTCTCCTCCTTTTCACCAACCCACTTACCTGGCTGCTTACAGCAGCTTCATCAGGCTGGTGGTGGTTGCTGCCAGCTAGCCAGTTGGCAAACAGAGAATCTCTGCCTCCTCCCACCCTGCCCTTCCTTTCCCCCCTTTTCTCCACTATGTATCTGAAGCACTTTGCCAAGGTGTGCCCTGGGAAATGTAGTCCTCGGGGTGGCAAATATCTTAAGGCAACTGCAAACATTGTAATAAATGGAGTTTTAGGGAGGAGTGGGAGGGAAGGAAGATCTTCTGTGGTTCAGATGCACAATCAGAATTCAGAGCTTTAATGCCCAGTTTCTTAACGAAGTCAAACATTACAAACTGGCAAGACTTGCCCATGGAATAGAAGTCTAGGTGGCATTGCAAGTCCATTACTATAGTATAGGGAAGAGAGAGAATCTCATTTCCAAATAAAATTGGGGTGAGGGAAAGTTTCTCTTTACTCCCTCATTTGTTGCAAAACACATCCATCTTCTCTTGCTTCCTGTTTCTCTCTCTCTCTCTCTCTCTCTCTCCCTCTCTCTCTCTCTCTCCATTTTACTTTCCTTCCTTACAAAAAGTTCTAGAGTAGCCTGCAGATTGTCCTGTGAGGTATGACCAGCATCTTCCCTCATAATCTTTAAGAGTGTTGTAAAAACATGTCTTTCCCACTGAGGCTTTGGTTTGTCTTAGACTTGCTCGAATCAAAGTCTGATACAAACCCTTGGGTTAGGGGTTGGGGGTTGTTCCCCTTTTTACAATGAATACTATTTTTAAAGTATATCCTGACCCCTCAACCCTCAAGGTTCGACTCAGTGTTTTTATTGTATTCTGAATTATTTTCATTGGTTTACGGCCCCTTTTATATTTGTGTGAGCTGCCTTAGGGCCAAAAAATGAGAGAACCATATCTAAACTAGTCAACAAGTAAAGAACTAAGTACCAAATAAACCCTGGTACCTGAGAAGCAGGAGGATTGCTGCATGTTGTCTGAAGTGCATAGAAATGTATCTGATAATGTCAGCCCATGAAAACAATTGTCACAATAAATCTGTTGTTTTTAATGCATCACAAGACTCCTTTTTCCTTCCATATACCTATGTCTCCTCCTCTGCCCTGTTGCAGTCTTCAGTATTGACCCAAAATCTCTGTATGCAGCAGTTCCTTCATGAATTACTCTGTACAAATAAGGCATCTAAACAGATATGCCTTAACCCAGCTGTATGAGAGGCTTTTTGTGCTCCAATCAAGCATGAACATCCTAAACATGACTGTCTTCTCACTCAATGACAAAGCCAGCTGATAGGAAAGCTCTGTTGTGGTATCTATGATGGCTGCTTCACTTGTTCAAGTTATGTCTCGGTGTTGCACTCATCAAACTACCAGTATGTGCATACGAACACCATAGTAGCCAACACTGGGACTGGACTGGAATTTCCAGGAATTTTGTAAGAGTTCCTAATCGGATGTCTTGAATTTGTAAAGTTTGTATGTATCTTTTCATTTTCCAGCCCACTGAAAACTGTTCTGAGCCCTTGAGACAAAGAGGAATTGTAAAAGTCCAGATCAATAAATAAAAGGACAGCATGTTCCAAGCACAAAACCTGGTAATGATTACCTGTTTTCTTGCAGCAAAATCCAGCCAATACTGTTGATGACTGAGTCCTCTCCCCTGCCCCTTTTGGCTTCTAACAGCCATAGCCAAAAGCCATCAGAAGGAGGTGAAAAACTAGACAGGCAACCATCCAGTATGCCTGGATTCACCCTGCACAGTTAATCACACATGTTCTTGTATATTAGCATTTATGTTTTCATTGTTTTCTCTTTTAATGTAAACCAATTGGAGAACACGTGCATCGACAATACAAATATCAGCTGTTATCTTCGTTTTGTGATAAAGAAAATATATAAGATTTTATTGGATGATGTGATGGCTGATGAAATGGTGAAAAAAATATGATTATGTGGGTCCAGAATATAGGCTGTAATATTAATTTTGAAGAGTGGGAGCAGATTTGGTGGAAAAATATAAAACTAACTAATGCTGTGTCATATAAAGAGAACATGTGTAAAATGTTAATTGCTCTGATAAATGTTGGACATGTAAAAATAAGACTGGTTCTTTTTATCACATGTGGTGGTTATGTGATGTTACAAAGAGGTACTGGAGATGGATTTATGAGATAATGGAAAAAATAATAAGAACTAATATCCCGTTTACTCCAGAGATACTGTTATTGAATATATTTCCGAAAGACTTTGATAA